ACAGGAAACATTTGCTCGCCTTAGATAACGAAAACAAATCCTTTAAGCTTTCGTATTATCTAGATAAGTTCCAGAAACAACTCCTTGACACACGGTGCCTTATTTCCTTCGTATATAGACACTCAACTGACGTGAAATGGATAGTTTAATTACTAAGCCTAAATGGCGATGGTAGACAACAAGTGTTTCTCAACTAAAATAGTTCAAGAAACGCTATATTTAGATGGAAATGACTACAGTTAAGTTATGGCATCCGAATAGCGTTAGAGACTGTGATATTCCATGCGGATTTACGTAGCATATCAGGAAAACAAAACACAAAATACGTCTACCGCAATATCCGGTGGACTTCAAACTGTCGCCTTCACCTTAAACCTACCAAGTCAGGATGAGGATCACTATCAAGTCACTCAAGCATCCGCCAGGCCAAACACAAAGAGGAGACTGACTACTTCCCTTTTCCTCCCAAACCCGACATTCGACGTGGTAAACGCAAATTTATGACCCTCTCCAAAGAACAACGGCACTTTGGGGGACACCTGCAGACGCCGCCAAAGAGTACTCATCGCCCACCATATGCTGATCCCCTTCTCCCCCGTGGAATTCGAAGGAATCACCTGTGCTCTTTTAGGTCTTTGTGCGTCTCCACATCTGTCGTCCAACAACCCCCTTAGGTGGTGGAAGTAAGAGACATGAATGCTTAGTTTTGAGCACCCCCATCTTCTGCCGACAATTTTCTTACACTAATTATTAACGAATTAATGAAAAGCAATGAAGATAAAATAAATTGACGCCCCTTGATATGCAAGTATATTATGGAAACGTCAATAGCCCTGTTCTGCTTTTACAATTTTTCCCCTCCTTGCTGCAACATTCTTTAGTATTTCTTACAAATTTCACACTGTTGAATCCAAATATATTAATTTTTTACTATCACCAAATTATTTTAAGGCTACCCAATAGTCACCCTTTTCAACACTTCGAAGATCTTATTCTTTCAGATATTCAAATCTTATATTCTTTAAAAAAATATATTTACGAGAAATATCTATTGCAAGTCAGCCAGTGAAGAAAATGCACAGCTGTGTCTGAAATTATTAGGTCTTTTCCTTATTAATCCTTTCATTACCGGTGGATTATGTATGTCCCAGAAAATATTAAAAAAATTCTAATGGGACACTATTAGAACATTAATTGCTCCATTGATAGTTGAAAATGCATATTTCAATTTCTTGACACAAAATCGCGCATACATCATAGCTTACAATTTTTTTTTTTTTTTTTTTTTTGATCCCAAAGTGTTAAAATTTTAACAGCTACTCAACTGTTAAAATACTCGACAATATTTTGAAAATTTATTTCGTCTAAAGTGAGGATATGGCCAGGTAAATGCGAGGTTCGTGAACTGTTGCTAGGATTAGATTTACGTATTTATAACGTCTGAACGTTACACGTTTCTGAGACGTATATGTCCCAGTGGCATTGTTTAGACCAGAATGTTTGTCCCAGTGATAACTATAATGTGCGTAAGTAAGGGTAAGTCTTTTCCCCCCTCCTTATCGGCTCCCTGGAATTATCATTTTCAGCTGTTCGCTTAACCTATATTATGTTGTGACTTTGGAATTTCTGGAGACTCATTTTAGAACTAATGGATGCAACCTAATAAATCGCGCAATTTTTTTTTTCATAATTTTAAAAATATTTCTTGTTGAGTTAGAGAGAAAATTTTAAATACTTATCTTTAACAAATAATTTTATAAGTTCTGTAAGAGACTTAAAATCTTTCTCGAGTCAATAAAGGCTTCAGGCGCCAACCGTTTTCTCACCCAGGGTGGATATAGTGTTTATGCTATGTTCTACTTCCTGTCCGATAAAAATGAATAATATTCGATAAAGTATACTTGAAGCAAATATCAGTCAAGTTTGGTTTGGTTTATTAGATTACGGCAAAGCACTCGAGGGCTATCTGCCTTAAGGGAGGGATGCCTTCGTGGAGGACTTTTTAAGGGAAACTGGCTCGTATACACGTTACACATGGGGAAAACCACGAAAACACCCATGCAGCCAGCCCATGCAGAGGGAATCGAACCTCGGACCAAACTACCAGTGTTCAGCGACGTTACCGCTCGGCCGCTGGTGGGCCAAATATCAGTCAAAACTATACAACTTAGATGAACACAGAGGTTCCACTGATGGTCGTCGCTCTCTGTATATTGAAGTAATGCTGTACTACATCATTAATATCTCCTGTTTACACCATAAACTACAGGAGTGCATAAAAAAAAATCCATTCCCATCAGGAAGTAAGATTGTCTTTAAACTCAACTTGAATGAGTCGATTAACTCGTTCTTATCGAGAGAGGACAAATCTCTTTTCTTCAAACGTCGAAAACGCCCGTGTATACGAATTTCTCTTGGAATGCTTTCCCCCCCCATAACAAATTGAATACTACAGCGCTAACAATAACTTACTTGAGTAAAACTTCTTTCTCGGACGCTTTCACCCTGTGTGAAGTTCCTACAGGCATCAATAGCTAAACATTGATAGTAAACAAAGGGAAAAGAAGGTGCATTAAAATAACAGAACTACTTTTAGTCGCTTCAAAAGAATGATTGATATGCCATTTATGGACTGTTGAGAGCAATGAGCGATACAGTAACTTGATTGGGGGAAAGCAGTAGGTAGGAAATTATTCAGGCGTTCGGGGGGGGGCGATGTCTGAAGGGCCGGACGTTTGGGGCAACTTCAATGTGAAAGAAATAAAAGTTAATTTCCAAATTACAGTATAACTTATATTGCATTATCGGTCCTTGATTATCGCAAAAATAATATTATGAAACACAAGCAAATCTCAATCATACAGAATACTCATCAGTTTCATAAGAAATATCTATTACTCCAGAACAGTGAAAATTGATACAATTCGATTCCTTCTAAATATTCAATTATCTTTGACTTTCAATTGATTGAAAAGCAAGAAAGCTCTAATAAAATAAAAACTTTTGTATCGTAAACGTGCATAACGTACGTAATAATTAACAAAATAATTTTCTTTTTGTTGTTGTTGCTGATGTTTGTTTTAAAGCAATATATATCCAACAAAATGTTTAAAAGCAGTTTAAATGACAGATATTTTAAATCGATTATTCCTGCTTTTATTGCAGGAACAAAAAATTGTGTTTGACAAGCAAGAACACACACACATTAAAAAAGGGAGGGCAGAGAAAGATGAATCCGGGTCTTTTTACTTGAAGTTACAGATTTTCAAGTTGTTGAAATTTTTTCTCCCCCCCCCAAAAAAAAACCTAAAATTAAATTTTTAACCAAACGCAAAATTTTGAAGTGAAGAATTGTATTAATTTGCTATACAAAGGTATACAGTTCAAATTTTGCACCAACGAATCAGCTTAATGTTTATTCAAAAATTCTAATTTTTTTTTAAAATTGTAAAACTCAAAATTGATACTATAACTGCTGTTCTTTAATGTACTATGTAAGCACGCTTTATTATTACTTATTACCCACCAGCGGCCGAGCGGTAAAGTCGCTGAACACTGGTAGTTCGGTCAGAGGTTCGAATCCCGAGAACGGGCTGGCTGCATGGGCGTTTTCGTGGTTTTCCCCATGTGTAACGTGTATACGAGCCAGTTTCCCTTAGAAAGTCCTCCACGAAGGCATTCCTCCCCTTAGGCAGATAGCCCTCGAGGCTTTACCATAATCACACACACACACACACACTTACATATTATTACTTATTATTATAGTTCGTTACATTAACTCTAAGAAAAATAGTAACACACGCTGTTTAATTAATCACCAGTACAGAATTTTTACACATTAATTATTCTTATTACCTAGCTAAACCCCCAAGGCCTTCTGACAAGTCTTCATGACCCTGCTTTAGCAATGTACAGTGAAACTAAAAACAAAACGGGATATTTCGCCCATCGACAGCCAAGTAGATATTATTGCTGAGCACTGGTAGTTTGTCCCAAGTTCACTTCCCAGCAAGAAAGTACTTTGAAATTTTCCTCACATGCAAGGTAATTATGCGTTAGTTTGATTAGAAGTTTCTGCTAGAAAGTATCTCTCTTCTGCGTATTTTGCTTTTAAAAGATCGTGCAGAAAGTCATCGGTTCTTCCAAGTTTTCTCAAAACCTGATCCCTTAGGTTCTAATACATTAAATAACATACTAATTTTGGGACTTTAATAACGAAATACCACAGGACAATTCAGTATGGACATCCTCTAGATATTTAATAATTTAATTTCCACAAACAAGACAGAACGAAAATATCCTCAGGACATCCCTGAAATGTTCTGGAACACTAAAGACTTAAAACGAATAACATAAATACAATATGTTTTATGGTAGCGAAGTTTACATAAACTAAATTTTATCGACAGAGATTCCGACAATATTGACATTACACACGTCAAAGCGAAGCCTTTCAAATATTTCAGCGCCGTTTTGTTTCGCCACCATGCATTTACGATCTGCGTTTTGCTAAGTGCTGACGCTGCGCAAAATGTATCTTTCATTTCCCTTCCATCTTGTGTCTTGCATAGCTAGTTTTTAGAATGCTTGCCATCCGAGAGACCGCAAGATCTTTAATTTTAAAATAATAACTGCATTGCTTATCAGACAGATTTAAAAGCAATGAACTCATTTGTCAATAACCCAAATCCATATATTTTAGTAATATATGTAATAGATAACATTTTAAATGCATTTCTTTTAGAATATATCCAACTTATAAATACATTTTTTTTAACATTCACACACGCTATTATCGTCATCAATATAAGAAGTTTCTGACGCTATATATCACGTATTTCGCTACAAATTCATTTAGTTCGAGTTTAGGTTAATCTTATGGCTATCTATTAATTAAATTTTCAAATCCCATCCAGTGGACGTGAAGGCAATTTATGGGGTGCGTCATTCGAAGGCTAACACATAAATTATGACACATGCATGATTCAAAATACACTTACCAGATTCTGATTTTTGTCCTTTTCTTGAACATCCTCCGGATATCCAGTGTAGTATAACGAAAGTACAGATCCGAATAACTGTTGCTCGCCTCTATTGACAACAGAGTCCGAAGATATAAGTCTGTATTGATGATACGATTTCAAAATAATAAGTTCGAATAACTACTCGCTGCTGAAGATACGAGTCTACTGAAGGTACGATCTGGTTCTGAAAGAAACAAAGAGAAATATTTTATGAACTTGCTTTTAAAATTTATTCAAAATCTTACTTTAAAAAGGGGTTACAATTTGAAAACTTCAGACTGCAGTCTCTAATTTTTTTTTTTTTTGAAAGATCATACGCCAATTAAGGAACGCCATAAAAAAAACCCTCTTACCCTCAACCACATCAAAACTGAAAATGTTTGTAAAAATGATTAATTGGATATATTGCAAATGAAATGAATTTTTCTACATCAATTAAATACATTATTAAAAAAGTAAAATAAGGAGTTATTGAGAAAAATATGTTTATTGCTTTTAGGTCGTTCATTTGTCAATCAATAACAGATTAATTAAAACTGAAAAATAAATTAAAGTCATTGATTTGGATTGAAAGACAAATTAAAGATCTTAGGCTTTTGCCAAATGATAATATTCTGGAATCGGCTACACGCTAAGTCTCGAAGATAAATTAAAGATCTACTTGGTATGGGATACTTAAAGATTCTTCCTGTTCAGAGACATTACTGTATCTATGGATTTTCTTTTGATAGAACAGGATTTTGCATTAGAAGCCGAAAGCAATCCACTTCTTTCGAGGTGTAAAAGGAAGGCGGTGGAACTACTAAAAAAATTATAACCTGGTTCTTTAGGTTATAGTTAAAACCTTAAAAGATATCGTAGGCATGCAACGTTAAAAATGTGATCTCGTTCAGTCTTATTATTTATTTTTTGTAAAAAATATAATGGAGAACTATTTTACTTATTTATTTATTTTAAATGTTATAGACAAGTATATTTACATGCAAATTAAAGGAATAGTATATTCCAAATTCTACAAACAGAACTTAGCTAAAATATTTACAAAAACAATAAGATTGTTACCAACGGTTCAAATCAAATCTCGATCTTTAAGTAAAACTGAAATTTAATTAAAAAAGTTCATATTTCGATGATGGAAATTAACGTATTAGTTTGTATTTCCTTTTTAAAGTAAAAAAAGTTACAAATCAAAAGATATCAATTTACACTTGAAAAGTACATCTCCATTTAAAGTAAAGGGAAATAAAAGACTAAAAGTAAAACCATAAAACTCGTTGTTAAGTGATGCGCAGACCATTACTGTGTACCGCGAAGCGTAGTGTTAAATGTGTTAGCATTGTTATTAATGACAATAAATGTAAAAATATGTATAAACATTATTAATAAACTATACTTTACTTCATTTTTATTTATTTAATATTATATCCCTTTGTTAGTAATTAGAAAAATAAATAAAATAAAATACACATTTAAATCATTAAAGAATAAAATAACAATTAGACCATGAAAGAAAAAGTAAAAATCTTACGGCTCGCCAAATGTCAACTGTGCAGAACCGTAATTAGGGTTTTCAGCGCTCGGGTACAAAGAAGATTTCACGCCTTCTCCTGTTTGTCACGAATGGAAAAATATTTCATTCTAAAACATCCGTTTGGCGCCGCCAAGATGCTGTATCTATAAGATGGCACCCTCCCAGCTGCACTACTAACACAGTAGACACTAGGTATTCGCAGACCCGAATGAAAGATTAAATTCATTTAATTCCTATATTTCTCTTAATGGTAACACTTGCGAAGTCCTACGCGTCATAAATGCATAATTACGCTAACATAAGTGTCAAAAATTTATGAAAAAACTACAATAAATCCATTTTAAAAGTTAAAAAGCTACATATACACAGATAAAGAAAATAAATAAATAAAAGACCCCGAGAAACGAAACATCCGGTGCAAAACATTTCGAGGTATTCTAGCCACACAAAAACCACTCGCTTCTTTTTCCCCGTTTTCTTCATCCTTCTCTCGCTTTCCTCTCTTCATGTTCTCGCGGTTTGTGTGTTTCCTTGTTCCCGAGAGTTGCCATGGCAACCCAGGTATCCGAACTCACCTGGCTACCCGTCATTCTGTCTCCCCGCTGAAGGTCACACGGGACAGGAGGGGGAAAAGCACGGTGGGAGGACGAGATCCGCCATTCCCCCCCCCACTTTAAGATACGGGTTCTGCTAGAGTGACACCAAATGGGTAAATTCGGCTGTTAATAAAATAGCTTAGACCGTCCTCTAAGTAATAGCTACTGGAAAGGAGGAAATGCATCGCAGATTGGAGTTTATTTCGACAACAAAATAAAAGTAACTTGAACACGGAAACCAAACTTCAGAGTGTTATTTCAAACTAGATGGTTTTAGGAACTCTTCTATGAGGCGCTATTTTAAGTTTATCAATATAATCTTGGCATGGTATATACAGACGTTGCTGTCAATCAATGACGTGTAAATTTTCCATTATTTTCGTTGCTTTAAAAGTGGACCGTTCATCAAAAATGCAAAGTTAAAAATCTAAATTTTTTCTAGGAAAATTATTTCTGGACTTCTTAAGGCATAAACATCATGCGTCATTCATGCCATGGGTGTCATTAATGAAATAGGTTTCTAATAAATTTTAACTCTATTTTTTGGTGCCATAGGAATAATATTTAATGATTGTGATAAAGCTTGAATAAAATATAAACTTCAAGCCTTTAAAAATTCTTTTCTCTCTCTTCTTATTCCCCCCCCTTAAAATTGCAATATGCGTTAAAATTCATTGAAATTTTTTGTGTTACGGCAATTTACGTTTCAAAAAGGCATAAAACAAATAGCGGAATTTTTAAAATATTCTCGTGACAGAATTTACCATTAGATAAGCAAAAGCATTAACCTACCGTTGTTAACTAATAGAACCAAGTCTTTGTTGATAAATAAAATTAAACTATAACTCAATTAAAAAAATTCGATATCAAAAGCTTTAGAGATTGTTTACTCATTCCCCCGCCTTTTGAATGTAAAATTGCATGGGAAAGAAACTATCAAATGATAATTCGTTATTATACCAGCAGAATTCCGTTATTACCTAGATTCGATTTTTGATATATAGTGGTCTCTCGATTATCCGGGCTGATGCCGGAGAAGCGAATCACGGATAACTGAAAAATACGGATAATCCAAGTTATCAATTTTCATGCATATTGTAGGCATTTATGTCTTAAAAAATCTTTAATTACTTTGTTTTTGAGGACGTTTAAATAACTGTCGGATATCACTACGCATTTTTCGAAATCCTATTATTTTATTCGAATCCCCTTTCGTCGACGAAGTTCAATAGTATTTCAACAGAAGTCATTGCTGTCTCGGAACTGATGTAACGAATTGTCATGATTTTTCTGCTTGCATTTTCGGTATCACTTTCTACCTCCTCTGCTTTTGACATTTAAAACGATATCCGCATCACTCAAACATTGATAGTCCGGCTCAGTCGAGCAGCTATCAAACCATTCCTGGATTACTCGCAGTCGACATTTTCAATGAATTTTACTTTAAATTCTTTGCTCCAAAATCTTTTTAAAATATGTCATAATTATAACTTTAATTATTATCTCAATTTCTTCACAATTAGTTCGATTTCTACATTTAGAAAAATCTTTCTCCGCGCTTAAACTTGCGGGGGGGGGTTACACACTCTCGCGCATAGTGTTGGCTGTGCATGCGTGGTAACCGCCATGCACAGATAATCCGCACTCGGATAACTGAGAGCTTTTTAAAACTTAAAAACGTCACTACACTACGAAATAAACTGCATCAATCCACTCATTTTTAAATGACAAACGATCAAAAATTAAAACGATAGATTCTAAAAAGTAATCAGATTTGGCTTGAAATGACATACATCTGAATATTCATTGACATTGGATTCTAAAAAATCTAAATTAAAATATCACTGAACAGAGAAAGTAAAAACCTGTTCGGGAGCTTTCAAAAAATGACTCATGTTTTTAGTAGACGACACTTTTAAGTGTGATACATCGAAAAGGAAGGAACTATGGACATCATTTCCCAGAAAGGAAGGTGAAAAAATTATATTTTCGCAGGCTTACATATCGATAAAGAAACCCCAAAAGAAAAGAAACCATTCCGGTACTGCCATCTATCGATGAGAATGCGTATTACTTAAATACTTCATATTCGAATGGAACAGTTTATTAATCATCGATTCTAAGCTGCATCAATGGAAAAATTCTAAATTTTAAATGCAATTACTCGAAGCACTTACAGTAATTTAAACAGCTCTTGAATAACTTGAAAACAAAAGACACAACACAAAAGAATTCTTTGCAGCAAAAATTACTTTTGCATTGCGTAATATTTAAACTACATATATAATTATCACTACTGACGACAGCTTACACCAAACTAAACAAAATTCTCCATAAAATGAAATAAGTCTTTTCGTGGTAAACTACACAGTTCCTCAAAATTGAAGGATCAGATTTCTCTGGTTATTTCTAAATATACTTTACATTAGACAGCGATTTTTTTTTTTTTTTTTTTTTTTTTTATATTAAGAGGAAAACAAGCTGCATAAGTTTCTTTAAGTAAGACAGAAAACTTTATATGACCCTTTACTCTGATTGAAAATTTGATATGGTTTGGTTTATTCGATTTTAATAGCACAATAGGGCTATTTGCCTAAGGGCAAGGATGCCTTCGTAGAGGACTTTCTAGGTAAAATTAGCTTGTACCCATGTCACACTTGGGGGAAAATACGAAAACTCCCATACAGCAAGCCCGTTCCCCTGGAACTGAATCCAGATCTAACTAGTAGGATTCAGCGACTTAACCTCTCAGCCTTCACTGGGCCCGAAAATTTGATATGACGCTACAAAAGTTTTTAGACAAATAACTTAAATTCGTATAAGCGCTTAACAAATAAGCAGTATAAAATTTTTAACAGAATATTTTTATTTTAAATTTACTGGAAATTATGATAGTATTTTATATAAAAAATTTTAATTTTTGTAAATTTTTCAGAATCCAAAGGGCGCCAAACTGATGTTACGACATTTTAGAATTAAGTGTTTTCCATCCTTGGCAAGCAGTAGGGGGGGCGAAATCTTCAGTTGTCCCTGGGCGCTGAAAACCCTAGCTACGAC